TAAAATACAGAAGCTTCATCCACTTTATCTGACAGAAGCTTCATCTCACCACCTACGGATCGCCTTGGAATGGGGATCTACGAAGTACTGTAACATCATACTTTGAACAAAATCCAAACATACATGATACTTATCTGACAGAAGCTTCATCTCACCACCTACTTTAGCTTCTTTTTCAGCAGCTATGTGTTCATCACAGAAGTTTCCATGATAAATACTTGTGATAATTTATCCACTTTATCTGACAGAAGCTTCATCTCACCACCTACTTTATCTTCTTTTTTAGCAGCTATGTGTTCATCATAGAAGTTTCCGTGATAAATACTTGTGATAATTTATCCACTTTATCTGACAGAAGCTTCATCTCACCACCAACGGATCGCCTTGGAATGGGGATCTATGAAGTACAGTAACCATCATACTTTGAACAAAATCCAAACATACATGATACTTATCTGACAGAAGCTTCATCTCACCACCTACTTTAGCTTCTTTTTCAGCAGCTATGTGTTCATCACAGAAGTTTCCATGATAAATACTTGTGATAATTTATCCACTTTATCTGATAGAAGCTTCATCTCACCACCTATGGATCGCCTTGGAATGGGGATCTACGAAGTACAGTAACCATCATACTTTGAACAAAATCCAAACATACATGAAACCTGACAAAGTTCAACAGGCAGCTCCTCCTCGCCTCTCCGTGACAATCCCATCATCAAGGGCGATGACACGGACGACAAAGGCTCCCACGGCCAACCCGACCTGACCTGTGGTCCTTGGCCCGCACACGTGTGGAGGAAGATAACCCCAAGAGCCACATATCTACCGCGATGGTAAACTGCCGATAAATTGCTTCCATATCACTAGAATCCTCTCCTCTCTTCTTCTGCAAGCCTTCTGCACCAACACCACACCGAACCATGCGCGATGTCCTCCTCCCTCTGCATCATCAGCTCCTCCTCGCCTCTCCGTGACAATCCCATCATCAAGGGCGACGACACGGACGACAAAGGCTCCCATAGCTGACCCCACCCGACCTGTGGTCCTTGGCCCGCACTCGTGTGGAGGAAGATAACCCCAAGAGCCACATATCTACTGTGACGGTAAACTACCGATAAATTGCTTCCATATCACTAGAATCCTCTCCTCTCTTCTTCTGCAAGCCTTCTGCACCAGCACCACACCGAACCATGCACGATGTCCTCCTCCTCTTCCTCCCTCTGCATCATCGGCTCCTCCCCGCCTCTTCGTGACAATCCCATCATCAAGGGCGATGACATGGACGATGAAGGCAACGGCGGCGCGCTCTTGAGGTCAGTGGCAGAGCGCTTCGCATCATCCTTCCAAACCCAAGCGTCCCTCGACGCCTTCTGCAAGAAGTACGGCGTACCGGAGTAGTACCCGGGGGCCATCTGCGTGTACGCGCCCGCGTTGGAGGCCGGCGTGCGCGTCCCGCTACACAGCTTCTATTCTCCATCATGTGTTCATCACAGAAGTTTCCTTGATAAATACTTGTGATAATTTATCCACTTTATCTGACAGAAGCTTCATCTCACCACCTACTTTTGCTTTTTTTCAGCAGCTATGTGTTCATCACAGAAGTTTCCGTGATAAATACTTGTGATAATTTATCCACTTTATCTGACAGAAGCTTCGCCTCACCACCTACTTTAGCTTCTTTTTCAGCAGCTATGTGTTTATCATAGAAGTTTCCGTGATAAATACCTGTGATAATTTATCCACTTTATCTGACAGAAGCTTCATTTCACCACCTACGGATTGCCTTGGAATGGGGATCTACGAAGTACTGTAACCATCATACTTTGAACAAAATCCAAACATACATGATACTTATCTGACAAAAGCTTCATCTCACCACCTACTTTAGCTTCTTTTTCAGCAGCTATGTGTTCATCACAGAAGTTTCCGTGATAAATACTTGTGATAATTTATCCACTTTATCTGACAGAAGCTTCATCTCACCACCTACATGCTCTTAAATTTTTGCTCATGCTTGATCTTCAACCAGGGCACATATGCACCACATCAGTTCATAACTTCTGACCACCACAGAGAAGTTTACTACAGACCGACCAGTTCATACATTTTGCTAACATCAGTTCATCACTTCTTACTTACATCACAAAAGGAAAATCACTACTAACAACTACGCCTACATCAGACTAGACACTGCCCTGCAGCTCCATGAACTAGAATAACCAATAGTTACTTCATATTCAGTTTGTCCATCATCATGGCCAAACAGTCCTGAAGTTCAGCTTCCTTCTTTCTGCTGTTTTCCATGGATTCATGAAGTTGCACGCGCAAGTTAGCGTTCTCCTCCTCCAATGCAGCCACTCTGTATTGCAAATGCTCCAACAGATCTGCTATCGGAGGAGCACTGCTACCCCCCACTGCATATGTGTTCAGTGAGGTGCTGAGACAGAGTGCCAAACTGCAGCCTGGCTGCTCCTGCCAGGGTGCTTGCCTGTTTCAATACTCATAATACGTGAATTCAACCCAAAAACTGATCTACAAATTAAAAATGTGCCACAAGTAATAACAGTGACTACAATCACAAACGGTGAGCTGACGGTGTTTGTATCTTGGGGTGGGTGGGGAGAGAATGTATAGGGGGTAAAAGGACAAGGACTCACCTAGTCACCGGAGAGCCTGCTGGCTGGACGGGAGAGCCTACTGGCTGGACCGGAGAGCCTGTTGGCTGGATTCCTTCTGCGGCCAAATAGGAAATGTAAGCTTCCCAGGCTTGTTCGAACGAGGAAAAGCTCTCGTGTTTGGCGCCCCTGACGCCGTGCACTTCATTGTTGCATTCATCCCATGTTCTGTACACACCAGGTACCTTTCCTTTGTACACCACGTACCAGCGCATGATTGCTGGCAATGCAACAAACATGTAAGCATATGGCAAAATACAAAATTCAACAGACCATACATTATTTATGGAAAATAATAGATCATTAGTACAACAGAAACCAAACTTGCAAGTGTAACGGTGAAAAGTAAAGTGCCAACAGAACAATAAATCTCGGCTTCAGGTAAACTTGCAGGACAGGAATATTAGCTTGCCCTAAATGTCATATAATTACAACAGAGGGTGTCATATAACGGACCATGATGCAGTTATCTTTTGCTAGTCTAATTCCAAGCTACTCTCGGCTTATCTCTGTTGGTTACGATGCATCCTTTCTTCGATCTTGAATTTCCATTCATTGCATGATTTTCTACCATTGATTGATTGATGTTCAGTAAGTTTGTGTAGGGCATATGTCATTGCTGTGGGTCTTGTTTAATTTGCTACTGCTGATCAATCGTCATACTTGTGTAACTAGGGTGTTGTTACCTAATGTTATTTCCAACCTTGTTGGAAGCTTAAATATATTACAGGTCGATGAGTTTCCAACCTTGGCACGTTATAGAGCGTGCAGTGTTTCTGTTCGTGCACGTTGTCTTCCAGATTTGTACCACTGTCAACAAAGTATTCCTCATTGTGATGATGCCCGTCATACTTGTGTAACTAGGGTGTTGTTACCTAATGTTATTCCAAACCTTGTTGGAAGCTTAAATATATTACAGGTCGATGAGTTTCTGTTGCTGCTGTCAGTGGAGGAAGGTAGCAGACAGTGATTCGTGCCCTTCAGCAGGAAGAAAGCAAGAGTACAGCAATGTATTATGTGCACGTACGACCACCCTCTGCTGGGGGTATGAATACTGTATTTTCCAAACAGCCCTTATTCCTCATTGTGATGATGGTCGTCACACTTGTGTAACTAGGGTGTTGTTACCTAATGTTATTCCAAACCTTGTTGGAAGCTTAAATATATTACAGGTCGATGAGTTTCTGTTGCTGCTGTCAGTGGAGGAAGGTAGCAGACAGTGATTCGTGCCCTTCAGCAGGAAGAAAGCAAGAGTACGGCAATGTATTATGTGCACGTACGACCACCCTCTGCTGGGGTATGAATACTGTATTTTCCAAACAGCCCTCTACTGCTTACATAATTTTCCTTGTAAATGACCTCGAGGAATGCTATCCTTTCTTCATAGGTATCCTTAACCCAAAACAGCTCCAGAGCTCTTTTTTCAACCAGTACACATGAATACTTATAGTATAAGTCAAGGTTAGAGCACCCATGAGCATTTAAATACTTCAGTCCAGCTATTTTAGAGTATGGGTCTTCCCTTGCACCCACTGAAAATGAACTTGTGAATTGCGGACCAAGCTTAGCTGAAACTGAACTTGAGAATTGCGGAGTAAGCTTAGAATAGAGAGTTATCTGGGATGTACCCTGGGATGTTCGAATGGGTTTCAACATGGAAAGTGAGCAAAAGAGGAAACTTGATGCCCTTGAGCAGAAAATTAGACCTCAAATTCCATTGTACATCACAGCCATGGACATGACAAGTGTCTTTTGGATTTCTAGTGAGTTATAAATTTATCCCGTGCAGTCAGGAGATTTGCCTTCCGTTGTTCCTCTTTTTCTTGCTCGACACCATGAAGGTTGAAGAAGAAAAGGCCGTGGTGAGCAGCACCGGCAAGAGTACTTAATTTTTACAGCACATAATTACAAGAGACTAATTGAGTCTTATGCGAATTAAAGCTGAAATTTAAATAAAACAACAAATAGCCGAATGGGCCAACAGACTCGAACTTAGGCATGCTTCGGAATTGGGCCCTTCTCGGCCCATCAGGTGTGCACAGTGGAAATGGGGGAGGGACAGGGCGTCAAGGGCAATACGTTCGGATGTCCGAACATTCCGAACTATCGGACATCCGAACAATCCCGCCGCCGGACGGGACAGGGGAGCAGCCGAGAGCAGAAGCGGGCGCCACTGCGCCGGCCGCTGTCCGTTGAGGTCGCCGCAATCCGGCCGCCGCGGGCCTCCGCCACCGCCCACCGTAGGCACACGCGCCGAGGTTGGATAGGTCGACGCCGCCGGGAAGGCTGCAGAAGGAGGCGGCGTCGAGCTGGGGGATCCACATGGCGGCTACATCACGTAAGACCGGTAAGTCTCAACTCTTTAGCTTCTCTTCCTCTCAACTCTTACGGCGTTGTCGTCTTGCCTAGACATTCAGTAGTTGCAAAAAGTTCAGTACAACATCACCAAAGAGTCTTACTCGGTTACACCTCTTGTACCATACATTGGAAAGAATAGTGAAAATTTGGGTGCAAAATAATGCTAAAAGATTAAAATTCTTTGCAAATTAGTAATAGGGACAAGTTGTTTTGCTTAGCAGATTGCACCGGCATCAAAATGCTGCACTCAAACAAAGCTGGCCAAGAGTCCAAGCCCGAAACTCTTGTCCAAAAGGTGCTATCATGGCCGGTCTACGATATCTTGACCTGCAAGCGGACCTCTATTGAGGTAACAATGACAAAGCAACACTCCTTATTTTGCAACTGCCAGAATGCTCCACGTCAAGGTTGTCATGCTGTTGTATGCAGGTGAAGGAAATCCTGAAGGAATTTCAAACTTGCAAGCACTATACAGAAGCATTTCGAAGTTCAATGCTAGAGGAAATCTTTCATCAAATCGAATCGGCCATGGTTACCATATCCAAAGGCATAGATGTGCATTATTATGGTAGGAACCTAGACTGTGATATGCCAAATAAATACAGTGTCAAGCTCTGTCTACCCAAGGGGAAGAATTCGCCAATAACAAGTGATGTCATGCTATTATCAGCAAGGAATTTAGAGTCTAGGGATCAAATCCTCAAGGACAATTCCTTTTGCACAATCCTAGTAGTTACGTGGGTCAGTGAGGAAGTGTGTGAATTTGAGAAGTGTTTTACAGTGTGGATATGATGGATGTCTTGCTATCAGAATCGCCGCATGAGGGCAGCCGGGATAAGTTTTACCAAGTCATGCACCTAGCTAATCTGAAAACTGATGAATGTATTTGGCAAGCGATGACGAATGGTTTCAAAGATACATCAGGAGTAATCAATCTCATATTGAGTAAGAGTAATAATGGCGTAAGTATTGACATCTCTCTCTTTCTCTCTCTATTCTGTACTTGGGATAACTATTGCTTGAAAGGGTTGAGCTTTGGAATGTCATGCATGTATGCTCTTATGTTAAAATGATGAATCATGATTATGTTTCTTATGCAAGTTTTAATATTTACTTTATCCCTCATTTGAATATGTGTTAATATGCTTTTCATGTGATCTATAACTGAGAATAAATAACTATGATAATAGTGGTTTGTGATCCATGTAATTAATTGTACCTGTATGGTCTTGCTAAAGAATGAAGTGAAGCACCACTTTGCTCATGTGCTGAAAATGGCTGCATGTATAATTTCTGTGGTGGTGATATTTTCGGTAATCACTGATAGCGTTTTTTTAACTCTGATAGCGTTTTTTTAATATATGCTGCAGCCTAACGGAGAAAATAAATCAAGTAGTTCTGAGGCTGCCATTGTTCAGTTTGGACTTAATCAATCCTAGGGTAATGTAGTAGCAAGCTGTATTTCAGCAACTAAGCACTCTTCTAGTTCTGTACGGCTAGTTTGGGGTCCACCCGGCACCGGTAAAACTAAGACCGTCTCAGTAATCTTGTATTTCCTTCTGAAGATGGCTAAGAATCCTAGAGTTCTTGTATGTGATCCAACGAACACAGCTCTAGGGCAATTGACTCGTCAACTTGTTTCTCTATTAGAGAACTCATCTGAAGCCGAATCAATTCAGGACATCATTCTGTTGGGTAATGAGGAGCGTCTGAAGGTGAAGGAAGATAAAGATCTGTCAAAAGTATATTTGAAAAATCGCGTTAAGCAGCAGAAGGACGAGTTCCAGAAGCTGGACAAGCTGGACAAGCTGAACAAGGAGTTTCAGAAGCTGAGTAGAGGGAGAGAGTTGAACATGATGGAGTTTTAAAACCACGTCACTCACTCGTAGCATAGCCTAGTAAGGAGGCTATATATATATATATAACCAGGCCTCCTTGCCAAAAAGAACAAGATGGAGTTTTAAAACCACGTTACTCACTCGTAGCATAGTATATATATATATATACACACACATGGAAATAGAGGGGTTTATTTGTAAAAAGAAATAGAGAGAAACAAGTGTATGACTAGTAACCACTGCTTGCTGAAAACTGAAAAGCCTGTGATCGCTGATTCTGATTTGGACTGCACCGGTGCACCTCCTGCCTGGCTCTGCTGCCAACGCACACCGGAGAGCCGCGACCTTTCCAGCGCCCCCGCCCACCTCCTCTGCCCTGCGTTGTCTTCTCCGTCTCTCTCTTGTCGCCGGGCTGGATTAATCGGTCGGTCGCACCCGCCGATGAGCTGAACTGATCGAGCTGAGGCCGGCCGCCGCGCGCCGCCCGCGGAGAAGACGAAGACGAAGACGTAGACGAAGACTCCTCCTCCTACGCTTTCCTCTTTCTTAAATTGAAGCAGCATCTCATGGTACGGTCCATCCTTCCCAGTACTCTGCTTCTTAGTAACCACTTTCTTTTTCCTGCTGTGGCGTTGTGATCTCATCGTCTTCTCCGCCGGCGGGGCGTCGCACCGCGTGAAGCTGCGTGCGTTCTTCATCTTTATGCGTTTCTTGCCGCCTCCTCAACGAATCCAGGATTCCTCCGATCCTCCTCCCTTTCCCTGCGGTGCGCAACAAAAAATGTTTTTTTTTGGGTCCTTCACAAAGAAAACCGCTGTTCCATTCAGCTTCAGTTCAGAAATAACCGCTGCTCTGCTGTTACCACCTTCCTTCACGATGGACCAATCCGAAGCTTTCATCATCTTCTGATTCCACAGCCTCAGCAATTCTCAATTTCCCATACGAATTCTTGTCTGAAAAAAAAATCTCTCCTTTCAGCTGATCGGCATGCTGCAGGGAGCAGCAGCAGCAGCAACAGCCGTGGACGGCAACGGCAAGGGCGGCGGCGGCGGCACCAACCCCAGCACCGCCCGGCAGGCGGCGGCTTTGCCCCTGAAGCTCCTCCGCCCTCTCCTCCTCGTGGCGGTGCTCGGCACGGGGTTCCTCGCCGTCCTGGTCCTGCTCCTTGGCGGCACCGCCTACTCGTCCATGCTCCCGCGTCTCCCCGCCGACGCGGACGCCCTGCCGGCGTCGGTGGGGAAGGCGCCGCTGGAGCTGCTGTGGGCGGCGTCGTGGCGGCCCAGCGTCCGGCGGTACCCGTACCGGCGGACGCCCAAGGTGGCCTTCATGTTCCTCACCCGCGGCCCGCTGCCGCTGGCCCCGCTCTGGGACCGCTTCTTCGCCGGCGCCGGGGACGTGGGGCTCTTCACCCTAATACAGATGCCGGTCAATTTGATGCAACGCAACAAGAGGAGATGGCATCACCATGGAATCTTTACCCTAATACAATCTCACTTTCACTTTCACTTTCTAGTGCTTTGCTATCAATGATCACTACTGAAAATTCTCTGCTTTATTTCCAAAGAACGCAAAGTGTACTGTTAGTGTTAGTAGAACAGTGAGCTGCCAGTGACTGACCACTGCACTGCATATATACAGGTGGCTGCGTGGGGCGAGGCGAGCATGCTGGACGCGGAGCGGCGGCTGCTGGCGAACGCGCTGCTAGACCCAGCGAACGAGCGCTTCGTGCTGCTCTCCGAGTCGTGCGTGCCGCTCTACGGCTTCCCGGCGGTGTACAGCTACCTGACGCGGTCACGGGCGAGCTTCGTGGGCGCGTTCGACGACCCGAGCCCGCACGGCCGTGGGCGGTACCGAGGCGGGCTGCCCCGGAGGTGCGGCGGCAGCAGTTCCGGAAGGGCGCGCAGTGGTTCGAGAGCACTGCCGCGCGCCGTGCTACGTGGACGAGCACTACCTGCCGACGGCGCTCTCCATCGAGGCGCCTGCGCGGATCGCCAACCGCAGCGTCACGTGGGTCGACTGGTCCCGCGGCGGCGCGCACCCGGCCACGTTCGGGGAGAAAGACGTCGACGAGGCGTTCCTGAAATGGCTCACGGCGGCGCCCGGGAAGCGCCATGGGAACTGCACCTACAAGTACAACGGCCAGCCGGCGGAGGTGTGCTTCCTGTTTGCTAGGAAGTTTGCGCCCAGCACGCTGCGGCCGCTGCTCAGGCTCGCGCCCAAGTTGCTCGGATACGGCTGACTGTGACTGCTCTGCTCTGAATCTGAATCTGAATTTTCTCCGAGTGACAACAGAAGGAAACCATACTCTGCTTTAACAACTTTGTTTTACAATCTACTAGTATGACTAAACACATGTCGTTACAGTTGATTGGTATAAAAATGTACTCTAGACTCCATGCTCGTCATCATCGGTGTATAGATATAGCTCCATGACTTACACAATTACACCACCGGAACATCATTTTTTTTTGGCTCAATGGGATTAATGGATAAGTGTTGAGATGCCTTGGAACAACCGAAAACAAGCAAACAGGAAAATCGAGTGTTTCCACACGTATCAAGACCTGGTTCTAAAACCATCAGATAACCTCCTTTTTTTTGGGGGGGGGGGGGAGTTTCCCACCAGATTTTCATTCACGGAAAGGAGGCTCCAGCGAGCTGGAGAGTGTTACAGAGTTACAAGTGAGAAGGTAGCTACGCCAGTCGTTCAGACCGTTTACAAAATCATTTCGAAGGTGCTTTCGCCAAATTACAAAATCGTCACAGATTCGGTTTATGATCAACAGGCTATCGGCGTATTCTCCACGAAAGATTTCACCATTCCTGGCATCCCATAGGCGCGAGAGTATAGTAAGAAGAACAAAAGGCACAACTTAGCATCCAGACCGGGGGGTGTGGCAAAGTTCCAGACATCTTTGTCAGTTAGAGAAGAGACACTGCCGAAGCCAATCTTTCGCCAAACGCTAGCACTCACTGCACAGCCGAAGAACGTATGGTGCTTATCTTCAATGGAACCGGCACATCTTTGGCATTGGTCGCTGTCCAGTACATGCTTAGCATGAAGGTTGGATCTTGTACTTAACCTGTCCTTGAAGTATAGCCAGGCGAACACCTTAACCTTGTTTGGGACACGAGTCTCCCAGATGCGGCGCCCATGGGTGTCTGGAGTCTCATGTCTTCGGTCGAGAGCCGCATATAGGCGTCCCTTGAAGTATAAGGTTTCCCGGTTGTTTTTAGAACCCTCACATCTGCACCTTCGCTGAGGGTGAGTTCCTGCAGACAAGATAGTAGACTGACTAGCTGGGCACTAGCAGCATTCGTTAGTCGCGGCCTGAGACACAAATCAAACCCATTCTGGAAAATTTTTGCACCGATACGTTAGGCCGAGTGGTGTGGGAGAAGAGGGCAGAATAGGTAGAGCAAAGGGGACCATCCGGGAACCAGTGATCAAACCAAAAGGAAGTAGAAGAGCCATCCCGGACAGTAACACAAGTGATAGATCGGTAAGTATTAAGTTCCTCATCAACAATTCGCCAGAGGTAGCTGTGAGGCCCGTTGATGGGAGTATCAAAGGATGCCGCATCCCGAAGCAGCCAGTCTTTCCAGGCCACCGGCTCGCCAGAGAAAAGCTTGTCAATGAACTTCATGAGAAGACATCTGTTCTGAAGTTGAAGGTCTTTTACCCCGAGGCCACCATCCTCTTTCCTGGCCTGAACATTATCCCAAGCAACTAGGCTTTTGGAACCGTGGTAGACCTCATCGCCAGTCCAGAAGAATGCCCTACGGCGCCGATCAATAGCTTTAATAACCGTCTTAGGAATGTTAATAGCCGACATAAAGTGAAGAGGGACCGAACTGAGGACAGCAGTAGAGAGGGTGAGACGTCCGGCCCGTTGAGCAGCGAGGCGCGCCAGCCAGCGAGGTGTTTGTCACAGAAGGAGATGAGTGGGAGGCAATCAGCAACAGAGATTTTGTGGAGGGAAAGGGGGAGGCCAAGGTAGGTTTGGGGGAAAGAGGAGACAGTAGTACCAAAACTAGTAGCAAGGGCATGAGCAGTGTATGAAGGCACACCAACAGGAAGGAAGGTAGTCTTGTGGTAGTTGATAGAGAGCCCCGTAGCCTCCTCGAAGATCTCCAGGATATGCTTAGTTTGAGCAATGGATTCAGTAGAGCATTTGAGAAAGATAAGGGTATTGTCAGCGTATTGGAGCACGGGGCAGGGAGCATTAGGGACAAGGGGGTGCTCGATGGCACTGGCCAAGTTAGGGTGATGGAGGAGACGACGAAGGATGTCGGCAACAATAATGAAAAGGTAGGGGGAGAGGGGGGTCTCCTTGCCGAAGACCGTTCCGACAGTTGATCCATCGCCCAGGGATGCTATTGAGCAGAACAACCGTTTTGCCGGTGCTAAGTAGGTCATGGATCCAATTGCACCATTTATCAGGAAAACCGCGACATTGGAGAACTCGATCGAGACTATCCCAATTCACACAGTCGAATGCCTTATGAAAGTCGAGCTTTAGGATAATGGTGGGCGAGTTGCGGCGATAGCAGCAGTGAACAATATCAGCGGCATAGGCAAAACTATCGGCAATGCATCGGCCCAAAACAAAACCAGACTGGTCGGAGCCAATGAGAGCGGGGATATGAGGTTGCAGCCGCGTCGTCAGGACTTTGGAGATACCTTTGATGGTAGAATTCTGCAGAGCAATAGGACGGAAGTCCTGAGGTTTCCAAGCATTGTCCTTTTTGGGGAGAAGGACAAGGTAAGAACGATTCAGCCTTTCCAGATCAGTGGAATGAGAGTGGAATGATTCAAAGAGGGAGTAAAGAACGGGAGAGGTGGTGGCCCAGGTTGCCTTGAAAAAAGAGGGCCAAAGCCGTCAGGCCCGGGGCTGGCGTTGGCATGCATACGACGGAAGGCCTGGTGGATTTCATCCTGACTAAAAGGCGCAGCCAAGTGATCAAGTTGCAGTGCCCCTTCTGGGTAGATGTCTGCAATCCGGAACGACCAACTGGTGGGACGTACGCTTCCATGTAGGTTGACATAGAACGAATGAAGGACAGACGCTTTCTGGTCATGATTATGGAGCTGACAGCCGTCATGGTCGATCACTTGAATCTTGTTGCGACGAAGGCGTTGATTAGCATAGGCATGAAAATAGCGAGTGTTCTCGTCACCTTCAAGAGCAGCTCTCACTTTACTCCGTTGCTTCCAAAGCAGTAGTTTAGCCTGAGTGGCCCTGCTGAGGATGGTGACAATGAGGGTTCGGAGATTGTGTTCGGGTGGGGAGAGAGCTCTAGATTCCTCCACATAATCCAACAGATTGATCACGATCCAACAATCCGTCTCTTGCTGAGAAAGGTTGGGCTTATTCTTCCCCCAAGCTCGTAGCTCAGATCTGGTAACTTTCAGTTTGGCAGCGATTACAGCCGACAGGTCACTGTTATCCATCCGACAACTCCACGCGGTGCCCACAGTATCATGAAAACCAGCTGCATGAACCCAATAGTTTTCGAAACGGAAGATTTTGGACTTCGGAATGGAAGTGGCGATGTCAATCTTCGTAGGAACGTGATCAGAGGTGGTCCTGGTAAAAGAAGAAAGAATAGTGTTGGGGAGTTTTTCATCCCAGGCTAGATTAATGAAAACTCGGTCCAACCGTTCAAGGGTGGGGGTGCTACGCTTGTTAGACCAAGTAAAGCTTCTGTCGAGAAGTGGTACTTCAATAAGACACATGTCATTGATACAGTCGTTGAAGGCCTCGGCCTCAGCAATCCGGAAATTCGAATTGTTTTTTCTCATGGGCATATCTGATCATGTTGAAATCACCACAGAGCATCCAAGGAACGTTGGGAGGAGGGGAGATAGTTTTTAATGAATGGGCACGAGAATATGTCTATTTTCGTATTTCATTAATAGAGAAGAGTGCGGTACAACCCGTTCAAAGATGGGAAAGAAAAGAAAGCTACTCTTTCCTAGATGATAAGGAGGGCAAGATTTTTAATTACTTTTTGAGGGACGTCTTGTGTTGTTGACAAATTTGTCCACCTCTCATGTGTTGTCGTGCTCGTTGCCCAATTCTCTGGTTTTTAGTATATCTACACTATGCTAACATATGAGGGGCTAGAGGTTAGGATAGCTCGGACGGTGTCTACCCTCGTAAATTCCAGCGAGAGTGGCATCCTTGGGATTTGAACTTGGATGCCTACTTAAAGGCTGGTGCTGCTTACCACCTAAGCCCTCCACCCCTCCCCAACTATGCTAGGGCGTGTTTGGTTTGCACCTCCTAACCAGCTCCTTAACTTTAGTCACTCCTGTTTGGTTTGGTATACTAAAAGAGATTAAAAGGGACTAAAGTCTTTTAGTCTCTTTTAGTCAGGATGTTTTTCTCCAAAGTGACTCAGCCTAACTAAAAAGTGAGGCAGCCTGACTAAAAAGTGAAGTTTAGTCCCATTTAGCAATATTTGAGTGACTAGTTGACTAAAGTCCGTTTAGTCCCATTTAATCAAGGTGCTTAGATAAAAAATGACTAAATGAGACTAGATTTAGGAGGTGGAGAGTGAACCAACACCCCCCTAACATATGGTGTGACGTTTCTCCCCCGATTGCCTATATCACAGGCAAACTGGACTATGAGTCTACTCTCTTCGCGCTAGTCTTTCCGAAGTTCAGTATGCAAAATGAGCCAGGCGTGACCTCCATTTATAGCCCCTAGATTTTCTGATGTGCATTCCTTACCTGAAAAAAGAATTCATCTTCAGCCGACTGGGACGTTTTGGTTTGAAACGTTCTCTTTGTCACCTCTTAAGAGACGACATGTATATATCTGTGACAAGTGTGACCCCATGATCGTATCTAGCTAGGGACGTTTGTAATGTTCAGAAGTTAGGCATTTTAACACGTTCTCGTAACAAATGAACCTACCTTTATTACATTTCACATTAAACAAATATACGAAAAAATCAGTAAACGTTTTAGGGCCCTTTTGTAACACAAGAATCTTGTAGAAATCAGTTTATTTTCACATGAAAAACACAAGAAACAGGAAAAATTCCTCCATTCTAAAGGAGGTCTTGACAATCAACACGTACATATTGTCTTGGGCATTTGCCATGATATGATGTCATTTACAGAGGAGGAGGTCGTCAATCATCACACGAACAAATAAATAATAACACCTCTCACAGAGTTGAGTCTACGACGAGAGCTGCTTCTCCATCCACTCTAATCGAAAT